TTGTAGTTGGTTTCTGATGTGGGGTGGGGTTTTTGTTTCTTTTTCTGAGCAATATTGAATGGAAAAAGAGGGGTTTGCTGCTCTAATCTGAAAAGTAATTGGATGGCAATGATTGCTTCTTTAATTGGATCTTCTGGGTTTTGTTTTTTCCTTTCTTCTTTCTCTGCAATTATTGTGTTGAAATCATTACTGGAAGTCACTCCCACTGTTTTCATGTTGTGAACCTTGCTTTTTGCAATGACCATGGATGGTTTTTCCCATTTTTTTCTTCTGTTTTTTCTTTTTACTTTTACTTAAAAAGGCACCGATTTCATACCAACAATTATATGTTTTGGGGTAAAAATAGTGCTTGGTGCGGTTATTGCGCGACCTCTCATGGATTGGTCTTCGGTTCCTTCCACCATCCTACCCAATGAACTATTAGGATTCATTTTCAATAGAATATATACCTCTTGTCATACTTGATTAATCTCTCTTTGTTTTTCAAAACAAATAGTTTCATTTTTCTAATTTTCTAATTGTTCCAAACTTTTTGAATTCACCCGATCAGATAGTACCTCATTTTCGTTGGTGAAGCTTTTGTCGAATGTGGTTTATGTGCGTAATTCCCACCGATGGCAGATAGAATCTTTTGTTGTGTTTGTAGACTACAGATAGGGTATGATTAGTGGTAGAGTAGCTTATTCACACCATCTACTAAGATTCAGTCCTTTCTCGATTTATAAAATATAAAGAAATTATGTTATATAATGTAGATTTCTGAAGGAAAATATTGTGGGAACTAACTAGATTTGTTGGGGAAACAGAATGTGGGATGTGCCTGAAGTTGAAAATATGCCAGGAGGATCAACAGGCTCTGAAGAAGAAAAGTTAAAACTGGTTTCAGAGGGTTGTAACACATCAACTGTGAGTTATCTTCAGTCTTCACCTGAATTGCATCAATGTTTCCCTCTCTTCTGTGTGTTATACTTCTATGTATGCACAAATGTTTCTGTAAATGAGTTGTTTAGGTGCGGTTTGATAACGATTTCGGTTTTAAGTTTTTGTTTTTGAAAATCAAACTTATAATCTCTACTCTTGTTTTGTTTAGTTTTCACATTTTTAGAACACTTCTAATATCTTACCTAAATTTCAAAAACAAAGAAAGGCTTATGCAAACTATTCTTGTTTTAGTTGTTAAATTTTGACTATGATTTTGAAAGTAGATTAGAAGACAAAAGAAGGAGCTTAGTAAGTGAGCATAATTTGAAAAAGAGAGAATGAAAACGAAGACGTTATCGAATGGCCCCTTACTTTACTGCTGTTTAATATGTTAATGCCTCTTCCTTCAGAAGGACGGAAACAATGAGTCCAAAGACATTCTGGGAGAAGTTTCCAAGACACATAATGCTATACAGTAAGCTAATATTGTGGCTCGTTTTGTGGTTTTTGGTTTTCGTTGGCAATCAGCTAATTTCTTACTGGTGCAAAATGAATGTAGGACTTTGGATAAAACAATTTCAAGTTTGGAGATGGAATTAGCTGCTGCAAGGGCTGCGCAGGATTCTATTCTAAACGGTTCTCCATTGATGGAAAATGTTAAGCTTTCCGAATCAGGTCATAAAAAGAAATATCTAATGGTCGTTGGTATTAATACTGCATTTAGTAGTCGGAAACGCCGGGACTCAGTTCGTGCCACTTGGATGCCTCAAGGTTTGGCTATCTATCACCTGCATATTATTATCTTTTCTTTGGATTAGCTGTATCTTTGTTCTAAAATTTCCACTTTGCCTTAACGATTAGGTGACAAAAGAAAGAAGCTCGAGGAAGAAAAAGGCATTGTCGTCCGCTTTGTAATTGGTCACAGGTGCTTATACTATATAAAGTTTGAAGTTATCTAGAGTGAGATATGTTGAGAAAAAGAAAAAATTTTCACTTCTACTACGACTAGAATAAGTAGAAAATAACTGAGAAATTAGAAGCAATAAAAATAATGAAAGAACATATGAGAAAGAAATTCCATTGTAAAACATAATTCTTTTACCGACCCTAATTTCAAAAGATACTCTCAAAGATTTATACAACTCACAACTATCTCTCCACTCTTTGAACAAGAGAATACAAGAAGGAAATTTAACTAGATTTAGTATACGAAAGCGTAAAGTGTTTCCAATTGGGACGAGTAAAAAGCAAAGTGAAGCCTAAGCTCCTTTCATAGCACTTTGAACCCATCACTTAATATTAACTTTCAGATGTCGGATTTTTGCTCTTCTAATATTTTGGCAAAAACCAACCAAATATTCTACATCTTGGCGACTTGATCTCATTTGAGAAATAGAATGGTAGTTTGGCTAATTTCTTAAAGATGAGAAAATTTTAACCAAATTTGTTACAATTTCAGAAAACAAGATTACGAAACATTTATCATTTATTTGTATACTCTGTATATTACTTGCTAGTACTACAGCGGGTGGTATTCTCGATAGAGCTATCGAAGCTGAGGACAAAAGGCATGGTGATTTTTTGAGGCTGGTACTGGATTTTCTATATCATATTGCCTTTACTTTACTTGTTCATGTTCAAGGAACGAAATGTGACATTTTTTGTTGGGGCAGGATCATGTTGAAGGTTACCTCGAGTTGTCAGCCAAGACAAAAGCTTACTTTGCCACTGCTGTCGCATTATGGGATGCTGATTTTTACGTCAAAGTCGATGATGATGTGCATGTCAACATAGGTAAAAATGCAGATTTATATATTGAAGCAGAGTGTCTTCATTTCCCTTTTCTTTTCGATTCGCTCCCCTTAAACAGACCAAAAAGAAAAAACCAACAAAAACTACGAGGTTGTTTGCATTTATTTTTTTAAGATTGAAGATTTGATTAATTTAGTGTCTCTCTTCGTGAAATTGTAATAAAACTGAAGCTCTGTTTTGATGTCAGAAAGAAAATAAGTTTTTATATTGCCATCTTCATAAGAATTATGTCATATACCCAAGATGAAGTGTAATTTTCTATTCATCTACGTTGTATCTCAATTTATCACATTTATCTGCAGCAACGCTTGGATCAACATTAGCTAGACATCGGTCAAAGTCCCGAGTTTACATTGGATGTATGAAATCCGGTCCTGTTCTTGCCCAAAAGTAAGTCCACTGTTAAATTCCTTAGTTTTAATAACTGAATTGCCATTAGGCAATCAATTGAATGCTCATCCTGCGTTTTTCTCATCATCAGAGGAGTCAGATACCATGAACCCGAGTACTGGAAATTCGGGGAAGAAGGAAACAAGTACTTCCGCCACGCCACGGGACAGCTTTATGCCATTTCCAAGGATTTGGCAACTTACATATCAATTAACCAGTATATTTTCTTGTTTTACGAAGAAAGATTCTATGTTTCTTCTTGATATTATGAATTATATAAAATAGCTGGTTCTTGAAATAAATCTTATAGGCATATGCTTCACAAGTATGCGAACGAGGACGTTTCATTGGGTTCTTGGTTTATCGGATTGGACGTGGAGCATATCGATGACAGGAGATTATGTTGTGGCACCCCACCTGGTATAATTCATAACCTTCTGCTATTTAATTTTTGGTTCTGTTTCACCCTCTAGGAACGGAGAGTGGGTCTCAGTTATTTCCAAGAGCGAGCGCTTAGTTCGTTTACTTGTTGTATGCTTCCCTTACGTCTGGCTCAACAAAATTCCGATGCGATATTCTCAATTCCAAGACCCTGTTTTATGAAAGTATGGTGATGGCAATTGTTTTAAAACACAGATTGTGAGTGGAAGGCTCAGGCAGGCAACATATGCATCGCTTCGTTCGACTGGAGTTGCAGCGGAATATGCAAGTCGGTGGAGCGGATGAAGGAGGTTCATCGCCGTTGCGGAGAAGGGGAGAATGCATTGATGAGTGCAGTTTTCTGATAAGCAAT